CTTTCCGTCCAGAGTTGTTAGAGCACGCTGAGAAGTTCTACGGAGTCCGTTTCCGAAATAAGGTATTGTATGTTTTCGCAACAAGTTAATAGCTTTTAACTTCAAGGTTTCTCACATTGACATCGTCTCTAAGGTTCAAGCTTATGACTTTGTTGAAGACGATCAAACACACGGTTAATCTGATCGTATCATCCTGTAGAGTCTGTTCTGTTGGAATTCGTAAGTGACAGTTCGTATTCCATATAACTACCACATGTGAAATCTTGAATCAGTTCTTCTTTTTTTTAAAGTACTTCAGTGAAATCTTATTAAAATCGAGTGTTAATATAAAGATATGGATCTCGCGCGAGTTTCAAGCTTAAGCGTACCTTAACTTAACCGAGTCTTGTATTACTTCTTTTCTTCCATTTACTTACTTGTTAATCCCACGATCTCAAGTGTATTATGCGTAACGTAACATAGAAGGTGTTGTCTCATATGATCATGTAAAATAAACTTGTCATTTCGCTTTCATTCTTGGTTTCAGCACACACAAAACAAAAGGAGATGATACCTGCGCGAACGCAATCAGCAAATACCACAAGAGTTACAATCAAACTTTTTCAAGTAGAGCAAAGTTCGCGATGTCTTCCGTAAACCAAACGGCAAATTAATCTCAGACACCTAATTTGATATCTAAGTACTCACGCAAGTATCTTCTACTGGTATGATTTAGAGGGCGGCGAAAGCTCAATCCAAGGAAAAAAGAAGAGATTTGAGTATACTACACACTCCCTCCCCTTTTCTCTATAGTTCGCAATAAGACGGGAAGCTGTCCTGTTCCCACGAGGTTTCTGCCTTCAATGTGTCTCTAGTTATCATTAGAGGTAGAAATTAGATTTTGACTACCAGAAATGGTGTGATATCTATCCACCAAGGTACTCATTACATATTTATTTTGGTTTGATGTCTGTTGTCAAGATAGTTAAGTTATTTTTCCGTGCCCGAATTGTTTATAAAGCTTGATCATTCGAAACAAGAACTGTCAAATTCTTCTGACAGATGCTTCACACGATCTCCCATTACCCACACACATTGATATGTTTGCTATAAGGATTAGAAGAATTGCTGAAAAAATTGCGAGTTTTGTGAACTTCAAATAATTTTATGGTTTCCACATAATCCTTTCTTCCTCTCTCTCTTTCTCTCTGTTTTCTTCTCAAGCGTTCAGTATATTTTTTCCCAGAAATTGTCACATCTGGCGTTTTTACCCATTAACACACTGATGAGCTTCTTGTTGTTTTATGATCTTTCCCTCAACAAATACAGGATGTTCCGGTTGAATGCTCTCCATCTGAAAAGTGAAGTAAGAGCTGGATATAACATGGAAAATCCTGAAATTCTTTGGCATGTTCTTTCCTATTTCAAATAGCTGTAATTCAAGCTTAATCAAAATGATTGTCTTCCTTCATTAACGAATCGTTTCTCTTATATTGAAAGGTTCGATCGTCTCTTCTAGAATTTCCTATTCCTTTGAACCGATGAGAATTCTCCTGACACAGATCTCAGATTCTCATGTTTTATCTGAATTTTCATTGTTTCAGTGAAAGTGCTTGATTATGCCTCAGCTCGCACACGTCATTTGAAGTCAATTTTTCTTTCATTTCATCAGTACCTCGTAACGCTTCTCTTCTCAATCAGAAGAAGCAAATTGTGATCACAAATAAACAAACACTATTTGCGTGCTTCTGCTCTCTTATGTCCATCTTCTTTTCTGAATATCTCCCTCGTTATAACTCTCTAGCTGAGTGATGACCATCTTTACCTAAGAAAGTAGGCTTAACCAATCTTGATTCTCCCTTAGAATCAATGAGTACAACTGTTGAGTTCCGAAACATTCCTTTGAGTTTTCTGACAATCAGATGTTTATACTTATCTCGTCAAATCTTTGTTCTTAAGTTCATCAAATCATTGCTCTTCTCAACATAAATTTCTTTTTTGTTTTTCAGTTATCCGAAAATGTCAGGTGAAGATGATACATTACAAACCTTGTTTGATATGTCAACCGAAGATCTCAGGTCTTTGCTGGTACTATTGAAACCTGAAACAGAAGAGAAAAAACTCAACTCGAATGATATTGCTGTTTTACGATCCAAAGTGCGAAGCATAAATATCATCTCAAGTTAAATGTCTTTGCCTATAGGTCACAGAATGGCTTCTGATGAATGGATTATCAACACTACACCGCTTTGTTAGAGAAGATGGACAATGGGTAATCCCCCTTGCTAGATCAGCGTGCGATTCTTGTCGGAAATTCCAAAAAGAACATAAATGTAAGATACTTTCACCGTTTGTGTGATTAAAACATTTTTTAGATACTCCATCTTCCGTTCACCCCATCATTAATGGTGAGACCTTCGTAACACTTGATATAAAAAGCCCTGAAAACGAAGAGAGCACAAAATCAGTTGATAGCGACAGGTCGGTTGACTACCGTAGTCATAAACTCACCATTCCTAACCAAGTCCAACCACAGAGCGGTTGCATTTCCACTTTCAAACTTATTTTCAGTGTCTCATCAAGATATTACCGTTCAGCTACAGAATGTTTAACGGCTTTCGGGAATTGTATAACGAGACCAATCATTCTTCTTTTCTCGTCTTGTAGAAATTGTTGTGGTTCCCCATAGAAAATTCCGTTCGCATCCATCTTTTTAAAATTTCAAAACATTAAACACCACGGGTATCCTACAGATTTTGCACTATATGTATATTTTCGATTTTCTCATACTTTACATGATAAATAAAAATTATATGCATCGATTGAATCTGAATATTCTCAAATCTTGAAGCTGTTCACACCAGTATAGCTGAACAGCCGTGTAAACCGTCAGTTACAGCTTTCTTTGAAATGTTTCACAAATTGAGGAAAATCAAATAGGACTGATGTTACTAATGCCTCATACCTCCTTGGCGAGGAAGGAAAAATTGAAAACTACCTTTTGGTTACCAAAGTTATCAATATCATTGAAGCATTATGATCGTATGCGTATAATTCAAACAGTCATTAATTAACGAATCCAGAAGGTAGCACACTCTAACCAACGGCAAACAATTGGGAAAGTATCTTATCACAAGCAATGCATTCGTAAGTACGGATTTACGTGCTTTTCCCCAGGCTCACGTGCTCTATCTACTTAAGCTGAATTTTGAAAAACACGATAAGCCTTAAAATTAGTAGCTCTAATTATAAGAACTAACAGGTATAACTCTCTGAGGCTAGTTTGATGTGCAGGCTACCGTCGCACGCGACTCTTGCACGCGTGCAACTATCCCGCCAATTTTATGAGCTTTGACATTATTTTTTTGGATGCAATTTCTAATGAACGGTTGTGTTTATTTTTTCGAGCAAAGATCAATTTTATCAATTTTGAAATGAAAGTTAAAGCTCGCAAGTCAATGTATTCCATTAAAGGAAACAGGAAACAAAAAAAATAAAATTTTAATTTTAGGGATGCCTCGCGACGAGACCAGAATTTACGTCGGAAATTTACCGAGTGATGCCCGAGAGAGAGATATTGAAGATGTATTCACCAAGTACGGTAGCATAAAGTTTGTTGATATCAAAGGTGGTAGAGGCCCTCTATATGCTTTTGTTGAGTACAATGATCCAAGGTATGATAAAAAAAATTGATCAAGGATATAGAGTGATTCAGAGATGCCGAAGACGCCGTTCGTGGAAGAAATGGATATGATTTCGATGGACATCGTTTAAGGGTAGAATTCACAAGAGGCGTTGGTCCTCGTGGACCAGGAGGGAGACCTATAAATGGTGGTGATCATAGTAATTTCCGCCGTGGTGGTCCTCCATCCAAAAGAACTAAGAACAGAGTAATAATCGAAGGTCTTCCTCCAAGTGGATCCTGGCAGGATCTAAAGGCAAGCATTTATTTTTTATAATAAACATGATGTTTCTGTTCAGGATCATATGAGAGATGCTGGTGAAGTTTGTTATGCAGATGTTGCTAAAGATGGTACTGGAGTTGTCGAGTTTGCACGTTATGATGATGTCAGATATGCCATTCGCAAATTAGACGATACCAAGTTCCGATCCCATGAGGTTTCTAGTTTTCTATTTTCTTCTCAAATTCTGTTTATTTAAGGGAGAAACAACATATATTAGAGTGAGAGAGGATACGTCGGGTAGTCGTCATAGCAGGTCGAGATCCCCTCGGCGTGATTCACCTCGTTATAGTCCTAGGCATTCTCGCAGCAGAAGCAGAAGTCGTAGTCGTAGTCGCACACGTAGCCGTTCAGTATCGCGTTCAAAGTCTCGTTCTAAATCTCGTTCACGTTCTGCTTCTCGTTCTCGTTCCGTTTCACGATCACGCTCTCGCTCTCCATAAGAGGATGGGAAGGAAGTTTGACTTGTGGTATTCACACATAATGGCTCAATCAGCTTAGCTTCATGTAACTCATTTTATATTTATTATTCATGGTAACTCACGTTGCTGTTGTTCATTGTTAGTTATTAAACAATTACTGTATTGGATTTCAGGAGCGGGAATTGTTCCAACCATTTAAGGAATTCGCTTTTCAAATCATTGATACAGCAGCTGTGTCTCCACGCACACGGCTACTTTTCATCATTTATTATGTCGAAACTTGTTATTGAAACAATAAAGCCTTCTCTCAAACTTTCTTATTTCCTTCTTAATTATGTGAAATTGATATTCATGATTCAGTAAGTAGGAAATTTGGTCAAACTATAGGTGAGGAGTGCGAAACAAATTCAGATTCTAAACTTCTCAAAATGCTTATTGGTAAAAACCTATTTGTTTTATTCAGTGATGTATGCTCAGAGACACGACAAGATTTTTGACCATAAATAATTACTGTAGGCCGCGTACGCAATATCTCGTTCAAATATATTCCTGAACTGCCCGATATAAGCTTGTCTTCAGACTGTGTGATTCATCTTACTTTGATGACTGATTAAGAGTTTGAACTTGCTCCATCAACATGTCTCGAAGAGAACGAACCAAAAGAGGACGTTGGGAAACATATAATCCTGAGTTCAACACAGAAGAAGGACAGTACTCAAACAGCAGTGTCGATAAGGCAACGTCCAAAGATCCCGCTGCTCCAAGTATGGATTTTATGTTGAATAAAATAATACATTAGTGAAATGTAGTACCAAAAGCAGCTTCACAAAACTTAAGTTCTGAGCCTGTGGGAGTTTCGACCGATGAGTTTGGTGCAAAGGATTACAGGAGGGATATGCCCCTTAAAGTATTTTCAATAATTTTGTAATGGTCAAATTTTATTCAAATAGAATGATTATAACTCTCGGCCTTTGTGGGTAGCTCCTGACGGACATATTTTCCTGGAATCTTTCAGTCCGGTGTATAAGCATGCTCGTGATTTTCTCATTGCTATATCAGAGGTGAGACTCAACATTTATTCAACTGATTGAAACCAAAACTGTATGCTTCAGCCTGTTTGTCGTCCCGAGTTCATCCATGAGTACCAGCTTACAGCTTATTCTTTATATGCCGCAGTATCTGTGGGACTACAAACAAATGACATTATAGAATACTTGGAAAGATTGAGCAAGTCTACCTTGCCCAAAGGAATTGTAGAATTTATAAAGGTAGTGTTGTACCTCTTTAAACTATATCATCAGCTTTTCTATTAGATGTGTACACTTAGTTATGGTAAAGTTAAGTTAGTTCTCAAACACAATCGGTATTTCGTTGAATCGAGACATTCCGACGTTATCCAGAAGTTGTTGAAAGACTCCGTAATTCAATCATGTATCCTAGAAGCTAAGAAACCTGTTGAGCAGGAGCAGGTTATTCAAGGGTTATCAATCGTTTAAAATTTGTTTCATCAGATCACCGTAGAAAAAATTCGCTTCCCTAATGAGCAGACAAAGGAGAATGAAGCTAAGTCAGGTTTGATTTCATGGGTTTACTTGAATCATCTTATTAGTTTATTTCAGATGAAGTTCCTGAAGATATTGATCAGTTATATGGAAAATTGGATGGTGATGACGAAGATGATGCTGAAATCCGCAGTCTTCAATTACTAACGTTCGAAATCAAGCAGGTCAGTCTGATACTCGCTTTTCTTTTACATTCCTCTTCAGGAGTCTATTGAAACTGTACAAAAAAGATGCATCGAGCTGGAATACCCTCTGCTTGCTGAATATGATTTTCGTAACGATACTCTTAACCCAAATTTGGGAATCGATCTCAAACCATCAACTACACTCCGTCCTTACCAAGAAAAAAGTTTGAGGAAAATGTTCGGTAACTGTCGTGCTAGGTAATTGTCTTAATCCTACACATCTAACTTCGTTCTACAGATCTGGAGTCATTGTACTACCTTGCGGTGCGGGTAAAACACTTGTTGGTGTAACTGCCGTAACAACTGTGAATAAACGTTGTTTGGTTCTTGCTAATTCCAATGTGTCTGTAGAACAGTGGAGGGCTCAATTTAAGGTTGCTTCTTCATCTATACAACTCAGTTAACTTTTCTCTTTTCAGTTATGGTCAACAATTGGCGACAAGCAAGTTCTGAAATTCACACGTGAAAGTAAAGCACCGATTCCAACGGGTCCAGAAGCAAAAAAGGTTTCTGACGCTTAGTTATTTCTTTAAATGGCTGTTTTAAGCCTGTGGTATGTATCAGCACATATTCTATGGTTGCTTATGCCGGTAAAAGAACTTATCAAGCTGAAGAAGCAATGAAGTTCATTGAAAGTCAGGAATGGGGTCTACTCTTGTTAGATGGTTAGCTAAATTTGATGCATGCTCATAATAATCATTCCATTCCAGAAGTACATACTATCCCCGCGAAAATGTTCAGAAGAGTTCTAACAATCGTCCAGGCTCATTGCAAGTTAGGGTTAACAGCCACCTTGGTTCGAGAAGATGACAAAATTACCGATTTGAACTTCTTGATTGGTAACACGCTTTGAGCATTTGCCTTATTAACAAGCATGGTTAAGGACCCAAAATATACGAAGCAAATTGGATGGAACTTCAAAAAGCTGGCCATATTGCTAAAGTACAGTGTGCTGAAGTGTGGTGTCCAATGACATCAGAATTTTATTCCTATTACTTGAGGTAAGTATCGCTATAATTAATGGCTTATGTAGTGTTTGCTTCAGAGCTCAAATAGCACGTAGACTTCTCCTAGCTGTTATGAATCCTAATAAGTTCCGAATTTGTCAGTTCCTAATCAAATACCACGAGAGGAGAAACGATAAAGTGAGTAATACCGTAGTTACCATCTCATACCACACCTTTTCACAGATTATTGTTTTCTCTGATAACGTCTTCGCGTTGAGAAGATATGCCATTGAGATGAACAAGCCATTCCTTTATGGTGAAACCACTCAGAATGAGCGTATGAAAATTTTGCAGAATTTCCAGCATAATCCAAAAGTAAACACGATTTTTGTGTCAAAGGTATTTCATTTCTTTTCTTGATTTATCCAAATGTAATATTAGGTTGCTGATACATCTTTCGATTTACCCGAGGCAAATGTCCTCATTCAAATCTCAGCTCACGGAGGATCTCGTCGCCAGGTTAGATAATAACCGAAAAATTTTACTTTTGTTTTGAAGGAAGCTCAAAGATTGGGTAGAATTTTGAGAGCCAAGAAACATTCAAGTGATGCTTTCAATGCATTCTTCTACTCTTTGGTTTCACAAGATACAGTTGAAATGGGGTATTCAAGAAAACGTCAAAGGTACTCTTCATAAGTGTTGCTCGTTTACTATCCATGTGATTTCAGATTCTTGGTCAACCAAGGTTATGCTTATAAGGTTGTAAATCGTTTCCCGGGTATGGAAAAAGAGGACTTGAAGCTGTCAACAAAGGTTACATCACTCGTTTTCAAATCCTAATCATTAGTGTTACAGCAAGATCAGTTACAACTTCTTCAACAAGTGTTGGCTGCTTCTGATGCTGATGCCGAAGAAGAAGATATCAAAGAAGAGCTTGCTGATGGAACCATCAAAGTGCTTCAGTTGCTCTTTTTTCAGTCCAACATTATCGTTTACAGGTCAGCCGCAGAGAAACACCAATGGGCTCTGTTTCTGGAGGTTCTGGTGTTTCTTATTCCAACAAAACCAAAGTGCAAGCTCTTGCTGAACGTCATCCTCTTTTCAAGCGATTCAGAGCAAAATAGTTGCATGTACTTAATAAACATTTTTGTCATCATTTCTCATTTTCAAAGTTCTTTTTTAATGTATGATAGCTAAGTTTTCAGAAGAAAAACGGGTATATGTCATACAACGGTCAGCAATCTGCGTTAAAATAGAAAAAAAACAGAAAATCTTATGAAGCTTTTTATTGGTCTGTGAACATTGTGAAAGTTGTGCTGATTCTATTGCTTCTCTAAGACAACCGCTAACTCATGAAAGAATCTACGAATGAAACCTTACATCATTTCATTCGCGACAGCGGGTTATAATGAGCGGTTGTTGGCGTGTGTGATAAGGGCGAGAGTAAGATTTAGGATGAAATGACGGATCTCATACCCTAAACACTGTAGCAAGAGGTTATAATAAATGACAGCAATGCGAATTCCTTATAACTGAACTTATCTGCAGCTAGTTGCACAAGTCTTGGAAGTCGAGAAAAACCTTCCCTTACGTGAAACAAATAGTTAAACAACTTTATCCATATCCCATGCCGTGAGTCGAAGAAGCTCTGCACCCCCCCCCCCCCTCTCCAGTCGGGGTCAGCTTCTGTTGAGTTAAGATGAAGATTGTGCATGCTATATTCTCTATATGGCTGTTATTGTTTCTTGAATTCCATAATATATCTTCTTTGAGCCCTCTGTGATATAATGAAAAGACAATTTTGGTTGTCGATAACTTCTTCGTGTAAAAAAAATGAGAAGCAGAAGAGATTGAGTTGAATGATGAAGAAATCAAAGAAATATGATGAGAAACTATTGTTTCGCATCTCTTGCAGCAGTTTTTCTCCATTCTTTAAACTTTACTGTTCATTTTCTCATTGAGCATTTTTTTTGAAGAAGAAATAAAGTGATTTATAATTTGTGAACGAGAAGATTAGACGCATTGGCTTTTCTACTCATTTTTTTTGTTTTCTTCTCATTTCGATCTTGTGAAAGCTGTCAATTAACGCTAAACGCGATATGTTTTAATAAAATATTCCTAAACAAGCACATTCAACTATACTTCTGATATGTATGTATGGTTTTAAGCATAACTCATAGCAAATATTCTTTTTATATATTTTTCTGTTCATCCATACATTTCGAGCTAAAGTATTACTTCCATCATCATTGTACGACAAAATGGTACAGAGTATCATCAGCAGTAGCAGCAGCAGCAGAATAAGGTGCTTAGCAGTTGAAATGTCTTCTCACTTCTTCTTCATATCTTTACAATACTGGCTGTCTTCTCCAATTTTATTGAATGATTTTACTCGTTAATAGAAACTGTTTCATCATATTGTCTCACACTCAGTCTTCCACTACTCCCTCTCTCTCTATTTCTCTCCAGTATACTTACTCTTGTTCTTCCTCTTTCTGTTTCACAGAATTTGACATAATGTGCAGTCCATTCCAGACCATGGAAAGATTTGGAAAAAGCCATAGAAGGAATGGGTTAAAGGGTATGTTGAGATAGAGAGGGAGAGAAATAAAATGGAATAGATGAGATTAAAGCTGGAGAAACAGAGAGGAAAAGAGATCGAACTCACTCACCAATACCCATTCGATCTGGCTACCATCTGGCGACTGGTCTCTTCTATTATCCTCTTCTCTCTTTCTCTATCTCTCTTTGTTTCACTCTACTCCCCTCTCTATCTTTCTGTCCCTTCAACCCTCTTTTTGTCATCTTTTCCTCCATTTCTGCAATGTTTCAGTTCTTCTGAAGTACTTTTACATGAAGAAGAAGATTCAAATAAAGCAGAACTTTTTTTTTCTTTCATCTCATCCTCTCGCTGACATTCTATTTACAAAAACAAAAAGAAAAAAGAAAAAGAGAGTATTCGAAAGAAAAACATATATGATTCTAATTGAATGCAATAATGTTATTAATTCAAATATTAATTATGCTAATTATATTCAAATGCTTTAAATATTAAAATATCGCATTTATAACTTATTTTTCATTTTTAAAAGCTTAAATATCATTATAGATGTGTGTGTGTGTGTGTGTATGGACATTCTTTTCTATTCTTTCTGACCTCTGATGATGTCCAAAATCATTATTCTTCCCATCTTCATACACAACTTGCCAATGAATAGCTCTTGATTATCCTTTAGCTTCACTTGCACCAATCTCTTCTTTGCCAGTTTTTTTATTTTTAACTTACTCTCACTCTCTTTCACTTTCTATCTCACTCTCTTTCACTCCCTCTCTCTCTGTCACTTTTACATTCTCTAACCGTACTCCTATTCCATCTGATTACCTCTTAAGTTCACAACTCGCTCATATACACACACATACACACAGACACTCACTTCAGTCACTTCCTCTCACGTCACTGACGCATTTTTTGAAGTTTTTCATTGAAATCAGCTTCTGTACGTCAATATCTAGCTATTGAGGGTATTTCCTTCCCTTACTTCTATCTCTGGTTACTCCCCTTATATTCGGCTTACTTTTTATTTTTTGTTTCAATTTCAGCACATACGTCGTCTGAACACTCATTTGTAAAGCTTTGAATAATTCGTTCTCTCCATCTTTTCAAAAGACAATTAGATGTTGAATAAGCTTTCATATTTCCTTATTTGCATGACATATATGATCAGAAAATGTAGTTCTTTGACTATCTTGGAATACTAATGTTTCATTTCTCTTATTCAATTCACTTTTCTTTACTTTTTATTTTCCATCCTTTCCTCCCTTCTCTTACTCTTACTCTCTCTCTCTATCCCCCTCTCTCTCTTTTAAGGAGAAAAAAAGTCCAAAGAGAATTTTATTAAGAACCTTAAGAACATGTCTGAAAGCTGGGCTTTTGCCCTTCATTTTTCCTTCAGACGCACACCATACACACTCACACACACTCATGTACACAAGACAAAAAATGGGAAAGAAAATGAAAGAAGAACTTCATCTGACTTCGGCCATTACCAGTATCTTCCAGCTTTTCATTGGCATCAAGATGATTTCCATTTATGGTTCAGCTGGCACACAAAATTTCATCTGATGGCCGTTCCTCTTGACGTCATCAAAGACAACAACAACAAGCGATTGTCTATTAAAGAGACTGTTAGACTTCTATAGAGGGAGTATGAGAGATAAGCTGCCACCCATAGAGAGAGAAGATTAAGAGTGAAGATCGAGAGAACAGGGAAAAGAGAAGGGTTGGGGGCTGTTGCAAATGGGGTAGTGGTGAGCAATGGGGTGAGAGCTAGAGAGGTGAATCCTTTTTTTTCTTATTAAGGGAATGATTTGGAATATTCAAAAAATGTTTATGAAATACAATGTAATAACGAAAAAGGGATGTGGAAAGTAGAAGAAGCGAAAGTAAGAAATATTTGATTGAAAGGGGAATTTCCGAAAATGTCAAAAGGATTCGAAGATTGCCCAAAGTTGACAAAAAGGGGAGAAAGGGTGGGTGTCGGATAGAAATTGGCAGAAGAAACTTTCGACCTCTTCTATAGCAGTTTGCATTTGAAATGATTGATGACGATATTTAGAAATGCTCATCATCAGACCATTTTTATGTTTTTGTTCGTAAAGTTTCAAACAATTCTCTTTGCTCCTCCAACTTGTCTCCTTTGTCTCTAATAAATGATGTGATAATCCTCATTAGGCTGTTTTAAGCTTTTTCCTTCCTTTAATGGTGCAAGTTCGTTCACTCTCTACTGTTCCTTCATGAATTCTGTGACGATGACCCCATCTCTCAGCTTCTAGTCTTTTCTGTCGATCATTGTTTCATTTTTCTTTCTGAATATCCTCTTCCTCTCTTCGACTGAATTCCCTCTTTGTGTTTCCCTTCTCTCTCTATCTTGCTTTCCCTCTCTCTCTCTCTCACACACACACACACACACACTCTCTCTCTCTATCTCTTTTACTTCCTTCCTTGTTTTTTTTTATCATCCAACATATGTATTCACATCTCAAGCTTCATCCCCTAATTTCTTTGAACAAAAAAAAAAAGAAAATATTTTGTCTTCTTTAACTGCCTTTATCACAGCTTTTATCTAGCTTTTATGGCTTCACAACAGTCAAGAAACTTTGCATTTTTTATAAACAAAACATGGCCTCTTACCCTTTTCTCTCTCACTCTCTCTCTAACTCTCTCTCTTTACAAAAGTTTTCGGTTGAAATAAAGAGAGAAAATTATTTTTTCATGCATTGTCCATCCCAAAAATGGAATATGCAAATGCAGTCATAATTCATACTTGATCAAATCTATCGTCGTCCTTCCATAATTGTCTTCTTTGCCTTTCTCTTTCGCTTCATTTACTTTTTGATTTTTCATCTTTCTTTTTTTATATTTATTATTATTATAAATATAACAAATGAGGCAAGTAGCAAAGAATACGATTGACTAGATGCTATAGTGGTCATTCGAAGCGATCCAGTTGCAGGCTTAGAAACTCATGCTCAACCTCTCTAAACTGAAACTTTCCCAAAATTAAAAACTCCATATGGATTATAGAAAGGGGGGGGGGAACTAGTGACAGGCATATAGAAAGAGAATGGCGCCAATAGCTTAAAGAGAGATATTCGAAAATGGCATAGAAGGGATGAAGAGTACAATGCTATAACTGTAGAGAGTGTAGAGAAGCAGAGAACATTTGCTCTTTAAATCGTTTAACTATTCATATAATATATCCTTTTACGGCAATTCGCTATGAACAACATGACGAATCAGCCATGGGGCTACCCCCTGTGGCGGCTAGAACGTGTCCCTTGTGGCCACCTGTCAAGCTTTTCCTCCTTTTACTCTTTTTTTCTTTGCTCTCTTGCTCTTTCATATTATAATTTTTGAAACAAGTATTATAATTTCCGTTAATAAACAATTAAACGATTATGAGGAAACATGACATTCCCTCTCCCTCTCTATCTCAGTCCATCACTCTCTCTTACTCTCTCTATGGATAAGTATGAAAGCATGTCTCTCTATATGACAAAGCTAAAGAGGAAGAAGAAGCTGTTGAATCAGTTATTTATTGAATTGAAAAAATCCCAATGATTT